AGATGCTCTGGAGCCTCTCAGTGTTCAGAAAGGCAAGCTGGTGTGTTGAAGACGAAGACAACCTTAATCTTAATCAACAGCAAACCTTCAACTTTGAACACGACTACATGAAGACCTCTGGCTTCACTGAACGGATAGCTTCGGTTAAATGCGAAGATCTTTGGGACTTCTTTAGGAAAGACTCCGTATGAAATTGCGCTGATGGTCAGGCGTTGATGAGGCGCCTCCCTTTGCCTTGGAGATCAGCCCCACCTTGCCTTTTGAGCCTGTGGAAGGCTGACATGTCGGCTGTATGGCAGTCACACTGAACGAAGTGAGCTATACTGTATATGTTTCTTCTTTAGAGCTTTAAACTTTGAATCATGTTTTGTTCTCTAGATATTTCGTTCTTGTTTCTTCAGACTTTGCCAAGGTTGCCGCGCCGCTTTTCGCCGAGCGTTTGACTGGTGCGCCAGGTCCGAGAGATGAGGAGCACCTCGGCCGGAGATGAGGAGCATGTCCAGCGGAGCGCGATGTCGATCATGTCAGGTGGTTGGTGAAAACAGAGTGCGATAACGTGCATGTTGAGTTTGAATGAGCTGGTCAATGGCCGTGTAGCTCGGATGTGGAGAAAAAGGCTCGGTCGACCATGCCAAGGCCCAAAGATCCAGATCCAGGTGGGGCCCACGAGCCGCGGGGCCCAATTCCATCGGAGTTGAAGCTGTGGATGTTTGGAATGAATAGTAACAAGTGCATCGCTACTGGGAGCAAGGACGCTACTAGGGGCTCCTGAAGCTACTAGTAACAAGGGCATCGCTACTAGTAGCAAGGGCATAGTAGCGATGCACTCGTTACTAATAGCAAAGGATCCTGAACCAGGAGTCACAAGGGGTCACCATTGGAGGATAGGGGTCCACTATCCATCCACTTAGGAAGTAAACACCACCCCTTTGAGACTCCCGGAAGGTACATCGACTTCTCTTTCTTGTGGATGGATGATGAAGAACAAGTAAACTATGACTATGATTGACTAATCACTAATCACGTGGGTGTGAGGATCGGCTCACATTGAAACATGGAGACATAGCCAAATAACCCGGATCAGTGCCATGTTCCAGGCTCCAACATGTTCCAACAAGGTTCACAATGCCTTCGTCCTTGCTGCTATTGCATTGCTAAACAGGACTTTGAGGTTGCTCAAGAAAGTGCATTCGCTTGGATAACCGTGCTTTGGTTTTGATCCTGTTTCTTGTTGCACTGGCCCCCTGGCGTGCCACAGCATGCCGCGGTGGCCATTTTTGCAAAGGTTGCTCCAAGTCTGCCTTGCAGGCTGCGACATCAGCCCCACCCTCCCCTTCGACATTGATGCCAGCGCGTTGCAAGAAGCCTGCAACACGGCCCCTGCAGTTGCTGAAGAGCCGGCCATGCAGACTGAAGAGGTTTGTGATACATCCGACTTCGGTGTCAGAGTAGTATATAGCTAGGCTTATATAGATAATTGGACGGGATGAGAGTGGTCAATTCGCAAGCTGACGATCAGTTGTCTGAAGGCCAGTCTTCCCATGCAAACCCATTCCCACACTTTGCAGACACCGTTTGCCATCCGTGCCCCATGATCCAGTATTGCTTCATACTGCTTCTACTTGCATTTTCTTGCCTCTCGGCTCTCTTCGTTGATGGGTGTGGCCATTGCTGGCCCCTTTGGACTGCCACAGGTGGTAGCGGAGGCACCAGCACCCATGGAGGAGGCACCCGTGATCACACCAAGTGGTGAGCGTTTTGGTGATGCACTGCTCCAACTCAGCAAAGTGTGCTTTCTTTGGAACGTGATGGGTAAGGGTGATCCCTCAAGATAGGGGCGGGTACATAATTGTACACATCAGCTGGGAAGCCTCAGCTCTGATTAAAACTGATTCACAAGTACCAAGAGTTCCGTTCTGGTGTAGGTGCCAGAGGTTTTCTTAAGTCAGTCGTTGCATATTGCTTTCTTTGCTTGGTATGTTATGTTATGTGTGGTTCTTTTGTTTGCTTGCTTGCTTGCTTGCTTGGTTGGTTGGTTGGTTGTTTCACGCACATCGATTCGGACGAGGGTGACGGTGACGATGCCTGTTCAAACCAACCAACCTGTCGCTCAGGAGCCAGAGGTGCCCAGCAGCGAGGAGCGCTGCAAGGGTTTGGCGTGACGACCAACCAAGAAGTGAAGCACCTGACCTAAGAGTTGGAGGCCATCGCTAGTAGGTTGGAGGCCATCGCTATTAGAAACAAATAAAAAAGAATAGGAAGGAGCTACTCGTAGCAAATAACAGACCTAACGGAAGCATCAGAAAAGACCCTGTAAGGAAGAGCCAGGTCTTGGTCTGGAGTCTAGATGCAGCAATTTGTACTGCTTAAGTGTTTTAGGAATGAGCACACCTTTCTTGAGACCAAAAAGTTTCGAAACCTTCGGACTCCTCGAAACCTGGAAGGATGAAGAGATGAAGGCGAGAAGACACGGACAGCGAAGAAAACCATCGACAGCTTCGATCCAACGCGACGGCCCAGCCCTTTTTTCCGGCCCAACAGAGGTTTGGTAAGGTTTGGATCTCATCTCTGTAAACATGCACAGAAACTGAGCAAGTGTGACTCGACAGGGTAACGCCCGCGCCTTGCGCGAGCGAGCCTGGCTGCGTCACAAGCGCAATATGCAGGAGCGGATTCTGCGGGGAGGGCAGACCGCAGCATGTGCTGTGGGGCAGAATGGGGTGAAGTTGTGACCCGGCGGCTGCTTCTACTGGTAACAAAATATTCCCGCCAATTAAATCAACTTCATGTTCAGATTGAAGGTACTTCAGAGGATTGGTTGCTGCCTGCTGCCTTCTTGTGAATTGACTGAATGATTACTACGCTGATTCTTCCAAGGCTGGTTGCCACAGGCCACAGGGAACTTGTTGGATTCAGATGAAACCCACCTACAGTTGACTCGGTCGAGTCTTCCTCGCGTGAGGCTGTGACGCTGAGCCAGGAGGCCGCAAAGGAAGCAGAAACAGACACAACGCTTGTGCTGTAGCACGCTTTTTTGAGTATTATAAAATGTATTATAGTGGTCACCAAATGGATAGAAAGAACTTCCCGCATTTGGGTGGGGGAGATTTACCTATTGAAGTATTTTTGGGGGGATGGGGAAGGGGGGAGTCACCACAAGGGACTTCCCCTGCAGCGAGTATGCAACAAAGCACTAGCTTGGGATCATCGCAGGTGACATCTCAGGAGGACCTCTCCTTTGGTCGGCCAAAGAGGACCGGCCCCAAAAAGCGGCTGGGGCGACCAAGATCATCGACCGGATGAAACAGAGCGACCGAGCCATGACAAATGCTCAGATGTCTTGTTCCTAGTAGTACGGCCAGGAGCCCCTACTAGCGTCCTTGCTCCTAGTAGCGATGCCAGGAGCCCCTAGTAGCTTCTTGTTACTAAATGCCTTGAAGATTGATGAGACATGCCCAGCCAAGCGAAGACACTTCAGCCCAAGAGAGTTGGGAGTGAGGTCCTGCTCAAGATGAACAAGATGAACACTCGCATGAAGAACTGCAATGCATTGCAAGACACTTGTGTTATTTTTGCTTTTTGCCCTAAGGTCCATTTTGATGGGCTCGGTTGCAGCTTGCTGTTGAGGCAAGAGTTGTGGCGTGCTTGAGGAAGTTAGCAGAATGGCAGAATTGACACACTGGTATGCTTGATACAATCATGAAACAAGTTCCAAGTCTCCTTGGCTCTATTGTGCTGTTTCAAACGTTGGTGACTAGTGGCTTGTTCCAACTGGCTGCCAGCTTTCCTTCTCAAGCTTTCGAGGCAAAATCAATGGCAGTATCATCACACTTGACACGGAAAGACCATGCAGACTCCAAACACATCCAAAGACACAAAGTGTCGAAACTACCTATCGAAGCTCGTTGAGAACTAGGCTGCCTCGTACCAAACATATTCATCACCCGTATTGCCACTGGACAAAGTTTCTTGCCTGGAACGCAGAGACCTTTTCATGTGTTTGACATGTTGTGTGCTTCTTTTGACTTAACGACCAGCATACATTCCCCTCCCGGCCCTTACTGAGAAAAGCACCTACTAACAAGCGGCCTTTGCAAACCCCCCCCAGCGCGCCATGGGCCGAATCACTACGGCCATCCACTCGATCTTCACGGCCACCGGGGTCACTGCACGCGGAGCTAAGATGAACCGTCACAAGATCTGCCGAAAGGCGGGGGCCCGCGCGGAGCGGCGGAGGCGGAGTGGAGGTTGGAATGTCTGGGGGTTGACGGGGCTGGTGGTGGGGCCGGTGGTGGAGTGCATTCGGCTGGGGGAGGAGACTTGAAAGGGCGATGGTGGTCTCAAAGACTTTGGGCACCCTTCCTAAGGGCTCCAACCACAAATCGCTTGTGACAAACGTTTTGGTCTTGGCTGCCTTGGCCCTCGTTATACACATCCACTCACCTAAGGTTTTGATCTAGACTAGTCTCTTAAGCACCATTCACACAGAAGTTATTCGAGCTCTGAGGGTTTTTTTTGATTCTTTTTTGTAGTACCCGTTGGAAGTTTCAGAATGATTATATTACCATACCATTATATATTACCTGTTGCACAGGACTGTTTTGTTTTTTGTTCTAGACATGTTCAGAATGATTCCCAAGCATCGTTTTCGGGACTGGCTTTCAGTCGCTGTTTGTTTGTAGCAGCAATGCGAAGATTTTGCTTAAACTTGCACGTTTGAGAATTTGAGCAGGTAACCTTTTTCATCCTTCTTCACACGACGTGACATGGACAATTGGCAAAACATCGACTTGAGTCATGAGTCTATGGCAAAAATGCTTGCATACGTTTAACCTACTGTAGATTTGTGACACTTATCAAGTGAACCCAGCAAGGGGAGAAGGAAGATTTAGGGCCGAGAACAAGACAGTCATTTGCTAGAATACTTTGCTTAATTACGTTGGCTTCCAATCTCTTTTTGGAATCTTGCATGAAGCTACTGTGCCCACAGTGCTTTATTTATGATTTCGCTTGGAACTGGTTCTGTGGGGCCCTTGCTTGCCCAGGTGGCCTTTCCTTTGCTTGCCGGATTGTTGTCGGGTGCTGTGGCTGCGACGTTGAAGGGCTTTCAGACCTACATCGACGATGAGAATTGGATCGAAGACTCTGGGCAGATTCCTCCAGAGCGGGGTGAAAACAAAACAGAAAAAGCTGGGCCGAGCCATGGATCATCTCTATAGACCACGGTTGTGTCATGTTTTTTCCTTTTTCAAACGTCCAGACTGAGTGAGGAGGACATGAGTGCCGAAAGCGAAGGAAAGATTGATGTGGCTCGGTGTTCCGCTGACCCGATGATGTTCAGAACCGAATACGAACAACCGAAGCACCAAACAAAGCGAAAACTCTAAGGCCTGGAGGAGCAAGCCTCCTTGCTCCTAGTAGCGATGCCCTTTGCTCCTAGTAGCTTCTTGTTCCACAAAAATGATGCGTAGTTGGGAACATCCCCTTCCCGTATCTTCCAGTATGTTCCAGTGAAAGGTGCCATGAGATACCAAAGCTTATGGACTCCAGATTCAGATTGTTCTGTGGGTGTGGCGTCAAAGATGATCACACCAACTCCCAGTTTTCTCAAGACTCCAGATCCAGGAAAACCTTTTCTTCGACAGCGGGGCCTACGGGTCCTTTGGCACTTGTATGAGCTTCATGATGGTCTTCCGCACAGCTCAGTCCTACAGCCGTTACTGGGAGCCTCAGCCGCATCGTGCCGCATCGCGCCGCATCGTTGCTCAGATCTCGGGCGGTGAAATTATGACGAAGCCCCACTCTTTGGTCGTTTTGAGCTTGAATGTTCTGATGTCTTTGATATCCGTTGATCAAGAACCTTTGGAGTAAAGGGGAAGCTTGAAGCCACGCAGGGACGCAGGGAGAGTACAATTCGAAGGGAAGGGACCATGAAAACTATAGTGTAGACTTGCGCAGGGAAGCTTTAGTGATGCTCTGGAAGGCCAGAAGACCATCACATCAAAGTTAAGTGAACATGTTGTGCCATTGTTGCAGAGGACAATCAAGCCTGTTGAGATCTAACAGGAAGGAAATCGAGGTACATGACACCGAGTGGTGGAGGATCACAGCGATTGGCACGATGTGATGATGAAAAAGCTAGCGCGAGCGCCAATTTTTGGTCTTAAGGTAGGAAGTCCAACTCAGCGCGGTGAATGGAAGGGAGGCAACAGATCTTCTCCTAATGGTACTGAACTGATGGCTCTCCAAGCAGATGATCTAGCGCCACAGTCCTGTTTTGTTGGCCTTCAGGAAGGGATCGACATGGTTTACCAGATCATGGGGCATTGGTTCAATGCTGCCAGCAATACCTTGGCCTTTAGCCGCTGCAGCACAGCCAAGGCAGCGCAGAATTGGGGGGGGCAGGGAATGCTGACCATGGTCTCTTGAACTTTTTCCAGTTGTTCTTTAGCCGGTGGGCTAATACTTATTTTGGAAAGGTCTCAGATGCTTTGGTGATGCTGAACATGCAAGGTTAGAGAGGTTGTCGAATTGTTCAAGATGCAAGGTTGGGCACTGGATGACACATATAATATTTTTTTCCGAGTGCCTTAAGACATTGCTTGGAAGGACGGGGCAAAGGTTTTGTTCAAGCTTCAAGGGTAAAGGAACTGGAAACGGCTCTCCATTCGAGTAAGGACAGGTCAATCCTGGGAGCAGCCTTTTCTTTCGTCAAGTGCAAATGTTTACGGGAGCATTCCAAGCAGCCAACTGCACGAGCATCCCACAGCACGAAACTCTATGGAACGTAGCTGTCCAATGCTTTCCATGTACAAGCAAAAACACCACAGCTGTTGGATCTGACATGATCTCACGCATTGTCTCAGATGTGGTGCAACCCAGTGGCCATACTGGTCGCAGTTGAAGTCCAAGCTGAGCAGACAAGCATGGATTGGTTAGGCCTGTTTGAACAACCGAAACTGGACCACTCTGCCGTCACTCGTCAGAGATGAAAAGAACATAAAACATCATAAAACAATCAACCTACTTGCCATGGCCTCCAACCTACTAGCGATGGCCTCCAAATCTCCAGTATATATGAGCCACTTCATTATTGTCCAGAGTGGTCCTGGTTTGCGATTGGGTGCTGTCATGCCTTGTTCAGCCTCATTCTACATCCTCGCATCTCTAGGCGGAGGAGATCGAGAATTTACGGCGGCTCTGCGTGCGACTCTTCAGCTTGTTGAATTGCTTGTTGCTTCGAGAACTGGAGGGCGAAGAGGCCTCCAACGATGGGCGAAGAGCGTTGCAACATGTTGTACCATGAAGTACCGTACGAAGGGACGAGGCATGGACGGGGCCCTGAAAGGACGGACGCTTCGTCGGCTTTAGAAAGGGCCATTGATGGAACTTGCAGGGTTTGATGGGGTTTGTTTCAACTCTTCAACCACTCTTCAATTTTTCTCAACACCTTAACATTAGGAGGCCCCTTTTTGGACGGACGGGAGGTCCGTGCCGAGAGTGGCCTGAAGTTCCCGGTCTTGGATCCTGGCGGCATCGACCTGCAAACTCGTGCGCATTTGCTGAACATGAAGTCCCACAGCCGACCAGAGCAGGTGCCACTGGCATGATTTGCACCAGAAAACAGCTAACGCTTGATGCTTTTGGCCGCAGTCACATGCCGTGGAAGTCTTATGAAGTCTTTGGAACAGAGGAAGAAACTATAAGAAATTACAAACAACAAGACCGACATTCTGACCATTGCTCACTCTGTCCCTGTCTGATTTGATCGGTCCCAGGTCTTCCAAGCCATCAGCAAGGTCATCGTGGAAGCCCAGGCCTTCGGGATCATCGCCTCGCCGGCGCCCATCGTGGGACGAATCCATCAAGAGATGGGCCTCGGAATGACCAAGCTCCAATCCGCCATGATGCTCGGTGGAGCGACCGGGAAACCACAGCGACCAGGGTGCCGTATCTCGGCGCGGGTGCCGTGCTGGAAACGGTACCCAGCGAGAAACGGTCCGAGTGGAGTCGACCAGTTTGGGCCGCGGGCGACGAGTCGCCAGGTGCAGGAAGTCGGGAAGTCGAGTCGGGTGTGATGCTGCCATTGCCGGTGCTGTGGAAGAGGTTGAGTTTATATACATGTTACATGAGTGTACTCTTTGGAGTGGAAGCTCCTACCGAGGAAGCTGGCCTATGTGGACTTCCCAGCGCCTTACAACCTTGGAATGAAGGCTGCGTCGTCCCAAAGATCCCCTCAGATGAATCTCTCTCTCTCTCTATATATATATATATCCAGGAAAGAATTCAGTGGACATGAGAGACCTTTCCATATACTTGATACCAACAGTTTGACCGTGAGACATGCACATCGAATGCCATTGAATGATTGCACATCTCACGTTCGATCCAAGAAATCCCATACCTTTCTCGCATTTCTTTTAATGCTACCATGTGCCGCGCGAGAGTCCTTTTTCCACCAAACTGGACTGGACCAAAAAGCGCGACCGATGGTGAGCTGTGACTCTGTGACTCTTCGCGAGACTCTGTGAGGCCATGCTGGTGGTCCATATGATGTTAACACCTGTGGCTGTGATCGCTTGGGCCAAGACGGTGCTCTTCAGTGGCTTCTTTAGCTTTGTCTTGGTCGCCTGGATTTGGTGAAAAAAAAACGACGGGCTCGAGGGTCGAGTCAAGAGATGTTGGACAGAACTACTAGTGGATTTCATTTGACAAGCCTATGGGCTACTGTAACCAAAATCATGGCAAAGCACACCTTGATTGTTCTCTCTTCCCACCTTGGAAGGCTAGACTATTTGGCGTTGGCTGACATCCAACAAATATAATTATAATCTAATACAAATACAGCAATTCAGCACAGCAGCACAATCAAACAGCTTGAACATGGATATTCACGCAAATTGAACTCTTAGCCAACCTGGCTCGGGCCTGTAGGTCTTCATTATGTTCGGCCTCATGCAGCTGACGGCCGAATTGGATAACCCCTTCCACGACTCCGGCTTTGGCTTCGACAAGGTGGGTTTTGCAGCTCATTGGCGTGGGATTTGGGCGGATCAACAAAAGGGCCATTTGTGTTTCCTGGGTGTTTGACTCAAAGCTCGATACTTAGAATGTTGATGAATGTCGAAAGTACAGAACAGATCGGCCAACGCAGTAAGACGGTGACAATGCCGATGTTTTTACTCTTTTTCATTTACCTAGCAGTATTGCATACCGCATACCACACATGGTGTGCCAAGTGCAGCCTCACCAATCCAAACAACTTGGACTTTCTCCAGGATTTAGTCCAGCAGAAGTTCAACAAAGCCCTTGTGTTGCTTGGATGCATTCTGAAGGTGAGGCAGCGCAGGTATTGCTGCTCATCATGTAGCAGCTGTTGGATGCTGAGAGATTGCATCAGTGACTTTCACTGCTCTGAAGAATCCTGTATTTAAGAGCTCGAGAGAATCTTGACTTGAAATGTACTAGGACTCTTCTTGAAGATATCCTGGCATCAATACACCCTGAGTTTCTGCGTGTTTGATTGCACTTTCCTTCAAAGCCTGCTGGGTGTTCAGCCTGCACAACGCACCTCTCCAGCTGCAGGACGATTTTGCTCGAAGAGAGGAGACCAGAGACTTGACAAGTGAAAGGGGGGTATGCTTTGTCACCTCCGCCTGCGCTTCCGTTGTGTCACACGGTGGGGCAACACTGGAATAATCACATTAAGATGACAGCGCTGGCCATGTTCTGTTTCCTTCATTTGTGGGGCCCCATTGCTGAGAGAAAGTGAATCTAAGGGGATATCATTGGGCCTGTTGGGCAATCAGCGCTGCATTCTAATTAAGGAGTGGGGTCCTCAATGAGTATACCTTTTTACCTGATGATCTAGCAATGGACAGTTGACATCCGACAGAACCAATATTGTAATAGCACGTTTGAATTACCAGTTGCAGCGCTAGCCGCAGGGAACCAAGCAGAACAATCATCCCTGTGGCCACGTTGAACACCTCATCAGAGATACTATCCGATTGTAAACTTCTAAACAATCACTTAGCATTGTCCTTACTTAATGAAGTAAGCGCCTACTTATTTAAGCCAGGGCAAGCTCTAATAAAAATGAACGAAAACAGTGCCACCACCTTCGCTGTCCGACTCAAGGTGGCCCATTTGGCCAGCTCTGCGGACCTCATCGGCGCAACGGACCTGGAGTTCATGAAGCCTCTCGGTGACCGAACAGTCGCGACACGGGTTCCTTTTTCTAGAGGTCTGTTTCGTCACCGGGGGCGGTGGAATTTGTAGACTGGAAAGAAGACAACACCTTTGATTCATATCTTAGGGATATTGTATGAGATGCGCGGAAGCTCAGTAGCTGATCAGTGCCAGAGCTGCCAAACTCATTCCACATGAACCACCTATCATTTCATAAAGAGCCACCTCCAGGACCTGCTCAGGATGTAGTTTGGAGGCATGTTCTATATCATGTTCCACAAGTACAAAACAGCATGTAACTGGGAGGATTGACTCGGCTTTGCAAGTGTGGGTCTTGGGCACAGATCACCTACTAGCCCACCCGTATTATGTTGAAACAGTTGCCAATGTGTGGGTGGCTTCACTTTATTCCACTTCGGGATTCAGCTGTACTTTGCTGTACTACAGAAAACTTGCAAGCGGCACACCCCATGCCATTTCTGTAGGGGTGTTGCTATGCAATTGGCATCCCTTCGGGTGCGTCAATGTTTCGCAAAATCACTATATATAGGTAATAGGTAACAGCTAACCTCCCAAAAAGACTCCCACGCATCTTTTGCATTCCCATCCATTCCTATCGCGTAGCCGTTGCCCGGCTTCCTTCAGGGCTCGCATGGAGAAGTCGGTCTACGAGCGCAACAGCTATGGCAGCATGGTCTCCGTAGTGCCCGGCCAGGTGCTCGAGGACACAGTAGACGGTGGAAACCGTCCGACCGGGAATCATGTTTGGCCGGAAGAAGTACACACCTTTTCCGTTGTGTTGAACCAAGAACCTTTTGAGGAACCTGCCATGATTGAGTCAGAATTACATATATAATATATACAGTAATCATGTTATTACCAAACGGTTGATCACCCGAATGCATGCTTAACCAACGATGTGTATCGACAGCGAGCTTCGTTCTTTGGCGAACGAAGCCACGACGCTGTACCTCCTAACGGCTGACCGCACGACAGCGATAGCAGATGGTCCTGCGCGGTCGGGTTCTGCAAAGGAACGCACGTGCGTCGGCATTTGCAGGAATAGACCAGGCGACCAAGCGCAGTGACATTGGCTCGCACTTTTGGATTAGAAGCAGCTTCGGGCAGTGCTTGCCGTGGGTACAATAGACGTTGGCATCTTCCATCCCTATGTAGCCTACCCTCGTTTGCCAAGGTAGGCCTTTTCGCTTTAATTGAAGAGCTAAACGTCTAAAGTATTCCCGTGCTTCCCGTTGCTGTTCGCAAAATTGACCTGGTAGTGATTGGAGGTCGACATGTGCAGGAATTCATTGCAAGATATTGCAAGGCTGGCTCACATGGCTTTCCCAACATTTGCAGCAGGTATTTATGGGCAAAACAAAGGTTCGGAGTGCAAACATTGGACTCGGTTTGATTTGAAGTTGCTGTGGTTTGGTGTGCAAGCTTTGCTCTCGCATGCGACAGTACTTGACGATAGGAGGATCGCCAAGCACTTGGTTGCTTTGTCAGTTTGTCCGCATGGTATACATTTTTTTGCTATTAGGTTGGAGACCATTGCTTCTAGGTTGGAGGCCATTGCTTCTAGGTCGGAGGCCATCGCTAGTAGGTTGGAGGCCATCGCTTTTAGATCAGTCTTTTTAATCAACTTGTCTCAGAGGTTGAATCGAGGTTGAAGCATTCATAAGGTGCGAATGCTTAGTTTTTGCATGTGTTTGCGAACACAGCGAAGAAAATCCGATTTGGACAAACCCTGGCCAAGCACCTCAGCCGATGCCGATCACAAGTCTAAGATGTGTGGTGGCTTTTGGCCCAAACTTTTTGGAACAGCAGACGGGTCTTCCCTCCACATGACCATCTTTTTTTCTGCTGGTCAGACTATCTTTGAGGCGGTATGCCTGCTCTTGCTCTCTCTCTCTCTCTCTCCCTCTCATCTCTCTCTCTCTCTCTCTGAAAACAAGCGAGTGAGTTATTTTTCAAGAGGGAATAGCTTCAGCACGTCTGAAGGGAAAAAGGATGGAATAGCTTTAGCCACTTTAGCCCGGGGCACAGGAAGTTTGCGGCGATCGTGTCATTCTTCGCGACCTAGGACCTAGGAACACGTGCAAGACTCCAACGAGCCCCAGACAGTTCTGAACGAATCCGATCCGAGGAGTTTAGATGAATTTAGCATATTTGGGTGATTTGTGTGTGAGTGTGGGAGGGGAAGCTGCAGGGTTGCTGCTGTTGTTAAGCATTTGCAGAGTACCTTTTTCAGAACATCTCAATCACTAAGCTAGGGTGCAAGTTTTGGTGATAAGGCCTTTGGTTGAGGCCTTTTTGTACTGCTTGGGGCCTATACTTCCATTGCTTGCCTCGCCCCGGAAGGTGGTGTTGAGATATGTTGAGCAGCTTGCCCACATCCACTTGACCAATCCTGGCGTTTTCGCAATTGATTCTTCACCGTTTTTCTCTACGAACCTGGGAGGCTTCTCTGATGGCCTTTCTCGCGTCGCAATGTTTCACTGAAGGCGCGGGCCATCCTGAGTATCGAGACTGCGAATTCAGGTAGTGCTAGTCCATGACAGCCGAGGGAGTGTGTAGTGAGATATCATGTCATGACTGTTCTCCTGGCTAGGAGAAGTGTTCAACAATACTTCCAAGATTTTCAAGGTTCTTCAGAACCATGCCGAGTTGCCCGCCACCTTCGCTATCTAGACTCTAGACCGGATTTTTGTAATGGGGTGTCAATCCAATTGGGCAGCATTGTTGACAGACGTCAGCATTGCCTGGGGATTGCAGCAGTGGGCGAGCCTATTGTACTTCTCCCTGATCAAAGTTACGCACTTTAAGATCATTGGTTGCTTGAGATTTCATGGCTGTAGAACGCACGTGTTGATGCAAAGAACGAAATTAAAATACCGTACTTGGTCCTCTTGAATCCTGGAACATTCATACATATCTAAACTAAAGACCGAGATCTGTGTTTTGCTCGCATTTATATAATGAATCTGTTGGAGAGTCATTCGTTTAGAAATGAGATGAACTGAGTGCTGTACCATATGATCGAATGCTTACAGCGCTGTGGGACAGTGAGGGTTCAAAGAGGCTGAATTGCTTTGGCTAGACAAAGTCAGCTTGACCTTGAAAGTCCGCAGTACAAGGAGAAGGTCTTACCCATTGCTGTGCTCTTGGATTTTGCCTTGAGATGCGGTTAAAGCATGTGCAACTCTTTTGATTGTTGCCAACTACCACCCCTTCACAGATAGGAGGAAAGGAGTTTGTACAGTTGTCTGCGGGGCGGATGTCATGTCAAGAAATCCAAGTGGTGTAATTCGCGCACGAGTTTCAGGCTTTGAGTTGCCCAATGTTGCTTGCGATAGAGCTTTTTGTCCCTTCCCAGAACTCAAGGTCCGTATGTAGGAGATGTAAGCTTTAAATGGTGTTTGGAACTCAAGTGAAAAAGGAAAAACACCCCAAGACACTTGGCAAACCAGAGACATTGGGCACACGTCGAAGGGTTTCAGAGACTTCGTGCTTGGGGTTGGAGCTCCAGGGTAGAGCCTTCGAGGTCCAAAAGATGAACGCAGCTAAGTCCTTCGAAGCTTCCTCAGTCCTTCATTAGTTCTATTGTCAAGTTAAACATTCACCACCTTTGAGAGTTAGACATTCTTCAACCACCTGTCACCCTGCATGCAAGCAGTCAGCGAGGAGGTGGTTGTGAACACTAACCGTGCCGACCGGACCGAGCTTGAGACCGAGCGGACCATATCCGCAGCTGCGAGCTCCACAGACGTCCACCACTCTGTTGCCGAGCCAATTCCGAGCAATGGGTGGAGATGGCGGTCAGGCCGGAATCGAAAAATTTGTTTATTCTTTGGGAGTCAGGGATTGCTGAGGATGGATGTATAGTGAGGTTGGAGAGATAAGCAGCAAGAAAGACTTACCTTAAAGATCCTTGCAGTGCAAATGATTCTCGAATAAGGTTAGACATACGGGTGTGTATTAAATTTTGGGGGACCTCTCAAGAATCCTTCGGAAGAGGGTAGACCAAAACCCAGTTGCTGGGGTACCACGACTTGCGGACGGCGGTCTGTCGCACGCTTCCCCAGAAAGCCCCTTCCAATGTGTTACTGGGGGTACTTGGGGTGATGGGATAATGTGATGTAACATGCCCTCGACCTCGGGTGAGTGGAGTATGGCCAATGCGGTGAATGTGGCTGTACAAGTCCACGGTATATCCACGTGTGTGACATGTGTGTACACG